GTTCTCGGACTCGCCGCGCGCCGACGCGTCCTCGTGCGGCCACCGCGGGGCGCCGGCGTCGGCGTCAGCGGCGTCGGCGGTGGCGAGGACGGCGCGGTGCGTGATCGGGGATCGCACGGTGATCGTGGCGTCGGCGTACGCGAGACGCTCGCTCAGCACGGGCCGGTAACCCGCGTCCGGCAGCAGCGGCGGGTTCGTGCGCGTCAGCTCGTAGCCCAGCGGCGCCATCTGGCCGGGAAGCACCACCGTCTGACCGCCGCCGCGCGGGCTGCCCGCGGCAGCGCCACCTGGTGGAGAGGTCCCTCGGCGGGGCTCTGGCGGATGCCGCGGCGTCTTGAACACGGAGGGTGCGCCGGCGCCCCCTGGTGCGACGGTCCGGGCTGGCGGGACGGACGGCAGGAGGGGGCGCAGTGACGTCGCCGCAATGTTTCCGCTGCCGGCGTCAACAGGGAAGGAGCTGATGAGGGATGCGGGCGTGGCGGTCGCCGCGCCGCCGCCGCCGCTGCCCGCAGCGTACGGGGCCAGCAGCGTCCCCCGCCCCCGCCACCGCCCCCGCCCCCGCCTCCGCCTCCGCGTTAATCTGCACGAGATTCGCCGGGGCGGCAGTCGTCCCGCAGGGGGCGCCGCCGGCCGCGTTAGGACTCGTCGCGGCGCGCATTTTCGCCGTCGCCGCGTCCTGCTTCGCCGGCGGCGCCCCCTGGGGGACGGCGGCGACGACGACGGCCTCCTTCTTGATCTCGATGAGCTCCTTCATGTGGTGCCGAATCGGGTGAACGAACGGCTTCGTCGTCTGCTGCATGTGGCTCCACCTGGCGAGCAGGCTCTGGTCCTGTTCGGTGAGCGTGAGAAACTTCTTGCCTGCGATAAATGCGGAAATTCCACGCTGCACGTTTTCGTATGCAAGAAGTTTCGCGAGGCAAACCGGCGCAGATAAGAACAGCTAGGAGTTGCAACAGGGAGAGGAAGACAGAAACAACAGGGAAAGGAAGACATNCACACACACGTGCACCCACACGCACGCACACACGCACGCACACACGCACGCACACACGCGCGCACGCACACAACGTGTGTGTGTGTGTGTGTTTGACGCTTTTTAAAGCGATCGCGAAGAGAGAACGAATGGTGTTAAGTAACTATATGTATGAAAATCGCGCAGCAATTGATTCACTTATCTGGTGTGGCAGGTTAGAGCGATCTCTATGAAAAAATAAATTAAATTCGCGAATATGTATGAAAATCACACACGATAATGAATTTCACTCATGTGTGTGTGAGTGTGTGTGTGTGTGTGTGCGCGCGTGTGTGCGTGGACGACCGGGCGACAGTACGGGACACACACACACGATGCACGCACCGACACACGCCCGCAACACACGCACACGCAACGCACACACACAACACGCACGCACGCACACATACGCACACACACACACGACACCACACGCCACACGCACACACCACACGCGCCGCGCACACACACACACACGCACGCACGCACGCACGCACGCACGCACACAAATCACTACGTAACAACACACGCCACGAACGCACGCACAACACACACACACACAGCACACGCCACGCACAACGCACACGCACACACACACACGCTCGCGCACCGTGCCCGCCGGCATGCCGCGCACACAACACACACGCACGCACTGCACGCACGCACAGCACGCAACACACACAACACAAGCCGGCCCAACGCAATCGTTTGTATCGGCCCATATAATTTATATATATATATATTATATATATATATATAAATATATATAGAAGAGGAGAGAGAAGAAGAGAGAGAGAAGAGAGAAGAGAGAGAAGAGAGAGACGAGAGAAAGAGAGAGAGAGAGAGCAGAGAGAGCGGAGAGCAATATAACCGTAAGTTATGCAACACACACACACACACACACACACACCACACACACACACACACATACAACACACCACACGCACACACACACACACACACACACACACACCCACGCACACACACACACGACACACACACGCGCCACACACATCACAACACACCACACACACACACAGCACAAAACACACACATGACACACACACACATACACGCAACACACACACACACCACACACACACCCGCTGAAGCGAAAGATATCGCGGCGCTGCTGCCTTCCAACCCGCATCGCATTTGCTTTCAAGTGCGTTGCCATGGAGACGCGCGCTCCTTGATGCCTGAATCGTGGGCTGAATTTGTTTCGGGGTTGAGATAGTATTTAAACTAGACACGTCGAATGACTCGAATTATTAAGGGATCGCTCCGCTCCGCTTCCTAACCTTTGTCCGTTAGTGAGTAGAATACGCAATAAATTTAGCGTTACAACGTACGCAGTGTATCTAGTATAGCATGCAGCATCCTCTCTCGCTCCTGCTGTCGCGCGGTGCAGGAGGTTTGATTCCCTGGTATGGTCGATTATAAAACGCACGCACGCACGCACGCACGCACGCACGCACGCACGCACGCACACACACACACACACAACACACACACACACACACACATAAAAACACACACGCATACACACACGACGACGCGCGCGCACACATGCGCACACNATTTATACATCACTAATAACTAATTATATAAACCACTAGCTTTGCTGGCAGTTTGTTACATAAGTATCTGGGTTTCCCATTATATGAATACAATCTAATTAGTATATAATAAATGTATAATATATGTATAGATGTGATTATACGCATAATAAATAATGTATGTAATCAAAATAATCAGCATTCTGAATGGGAACTTTATCAATACTCTCTACAATAAAAATCGTATTCACTAACTTCACTGAATGAGAATTCAATTCTCATTATGCAACACAAAACCGCATGAACCGATCTCTCCGAGCAAGAATTCGATTCTGATTCCCCGTCGAGACCGAGAAGCTATCGCACGCTAGCGAGCGTGGGTGTGTGTGCATGAAGCTTACCTCCGGCGTGACAGCTGACGTCCACGTCCGCGTCCGAGACGTTGACCGCCGGCGACGACACCATCGGCACGACCTGATCCCGTCGCTCTCCCGCCGCCGCTCTCTCCTGCGGTGGCGCCCCCGCCGTGACGACCTCCGCGTCACAGCGCCCCCTGGCGGCGAAGAACGCCATCAGCTTCTCCTTCTTCTCCTTGCGGCGCGCGAACTCGCCGATCTCGGCCAAGATGCCCGCCCGCAGCTGCGCGGCGTCCTGCTCGCGACGCTCAAAGTCGAAGTCAAACGCGCGCGCGGTTGGTTCGTCCTCGACGTCGTGGTAGGCGGAGAGGTGAGGGTGACGCAGCGCCTCGTCCACCGTGCAGCGGTTCTGCCGGGAGAGCGAGATGCTGATCATGACTGATTAATTAAATCTAATTATTTCTTTATTACGGCCAATGAGGATTGGGTGGGCTGGGATCGAGCAATCGAAAATTTCTGTTATTTCATTCGGTTTGGCGATGTCTTGAATTTTTCTCGTCTCTCACTTTTTTTTACTTCTAATTGGGAGCAAGCGCGGAAAACCTGTGACAAGGACTCTTTTAAATGTTCAGAATTTATTTGCCCCTCAGGTTCTTTACTTTTAGTCGGATGCGAGTGCGCGAAACTGTGGCGTGACTTTTTAGAGGTTTTTAATTTTTTATTTCTTCCGAGTTTTAAATCAGGCCGCTTAGGCTAATTTCAAAAACGTTAGGCTACCATACCTTTCAAATAAAGGGCCAAAAACAAACCCGAACGCATTCGGTAAACTTTGCACCTTTGGCTCAAACTGCAGCATCCTCGAGAGAAGGTCGAGAGCCTTCTTCGACGCGTTCGGGAACGTGTCCTTCCATCGCACGGGCTCTCTCCCGAATCCTGCAACACACACACCGGGGAGATATCAGTCAGCACTCGATCACGCGCAAGCCCATATACACGCGCCGTGAAATCTAAATCATTGGCCTATTGTGGACCTCACGACACACCCAGGACGCACCGTGAATTAAAAACCGCTGATTTATTGTAGACCTCATGCCACGACATGCCAAGGATGCCCCAAGAATTAAAAACCGTTGACCAACTGTGGATGGACTTCATAACGCACCCCACGCCATCTCTCCCCTTACATGATCCCCTCCATACAATTAACCATACTCAGAGCCTATAGACACGATACCTCACGATACAACCAGGACACACTATGAATATGAATTCAAAACCGTTGACCTATTGTGTACCTCCCGACCTGCCCAGGACACACCGTCAATTTAAAGTTGTCGGTCTTATGTGGAGCTCACGACATGCCCATAATGCACCATGAATTCAAAACCGCTGACTTACTGTGCATCTCACTCATAACACACCCAGGATTCACCATGAATTCAAAACCGCTGACTTATTGTGGACCTCACGACACACCCAGGATTCACCATGAATTATAAAAACAGTCGACATTTTGTGGACCTCACGGCATGCCCAGGACCCACGGTGAATTCAAACCCAAGAGCCACACACACTCGTGATCAGCTCCCCCACCGGAGGAACTAGGTTATATAAAAAAGCTACCGTGCGCGCCCGCGCTTCTAGAGAAGTAACCACCCCGATTCCCAGAGAAGAAACTACCACCCTGATTCCCCCAGAACCCACCCTTACCCCCTGAGAAATAACCATCGCCCAACCCGACGCCCAGAGAAGTGACCACCACCCCGACACCCCAAGAAGTGACCCCGCGAGAAGTGAACCCCACCCGCGAAAAGTACCCATCGCGACCCCCTCCCCCCCTGAAAAGACCAACCCGACCTCCGTAGCTAGCTCGCACGGAAACAAACAATATCTAGCTAGTTTCTGTTTCCGTACCAGACGATGAACGGTAAATCGCTACTAAGCGGGAGTAGCCTAGGCGGGCGATGAATTCTCGGCGGTACCTTGCATCCGGTGAATCCCTCACGGAGCTTCTCTCATCAGCGCTCAGTTTCCTCTCTCGAATCTGTGAGAAGCCGTCGAAGTGACGTCATCAGCCGCTGCTGTTGCGATTGGTTTTTGCAATTAACTTCTCCCGATAGGATTGTGTCCGTCTGCATCCCCGTGTGATTAATCTAGCTGGCGGGAATAGAAGTGCTGTGCCCTACCTAGAATTGCATGTGTCTAGAGTAGCCAAATTAAAAAAAGAGGAAAATAGTACTAGCCATAGGCTACCGAAAGCAGTCTGCGCGGCGAAGCCGCGCTTAGGGAGAGGGAATAGGAGGGGGTGACCCCCTCCCATTGGGGAAGGGGGTACGGGGGAATTTTTGTGAAATTGAGAAGCTCTGAGAGCGAATCTGGGGTCTCCTGATGCCACAATTTAGCTTTATTAAGAGGTTCATTCTATCATATTTTATTAGTTAATTTCTGAAAAAAATCTCCCATGAAGGTATGTGTAGAGTCAACAGTGTATCAATGTAGCGTAGAGATACGTAGACGGGTTGCATCGCAGTGTACATGGGCTGAATCCATAGAAATATACAGAGGCACACGAATTTTATTAGTATGTTATTTCTATGCCTGAATCGTAGCTATCGAGTTTTTGTTTGTTCATGATTTGTTTACTCTTAAACGCGCGCTACTTCTTACAAAATGTGTAAATGGTGTGTCACAGTAAAATATCTACTGAAGTGAATTATAACGAAATTTCTCAAGACATTATAGTCTACAAAAGAGCGTAGATATTTGCCCAAGGGTTATTGTTAGGGTTAGGGGTAGGGTTAGGGTTAGGTTTAGGGGTAGGCACCTAATATTGTCCCTCTTGGGCAATTATTTATGAATAAAGAGTAATATGCAGCAGATGCGTCAAACATATTGATAGCCATAGCAACCTGATATGTAACTATAAATAAAATAATTTATTTATGTACCATATATACAACATACAGTGAATAACAGTTTCAAATCAGGTTCAAGTTCATAATTGATTATCTTCGTAATGAAGAACACTTGGCATCTAACCATCACAAGAAATAATTTCATTTCTTTAAAACGTAAAGAATTTTACTCATTTTTTCACCTAATATCCATATTAATAAAAAAAAGCATAATAATTTGTAACACCGATTCTAAAAAATACCGATCTTTTTTTATGTAAGAAGTAAAATGGCACATTATGGGTTCCACTAACACCTAGCTCTACCCGTGTAGCCCTTCACTGCGTCACAAGTGGAGCGAAGAGCTACACTGGTAGAACTAGTTTACTCATATCCTCCCACAAGGAAACATGAATAGTGAAACACGACCACAGCCACTCTCCCCAATATCTTTACACTTCCAAGAAGACGTGAGAATAACAAATTGTTCGGATAGCTCGGTGCGCGTACAAACAAACACATACACACAGCAGACACGACTTTCCGCTGACTCTGAGATTGGATATAAGATCTCCCTGACCGTAAACTTGACAACAAGTGAACGCCTACTTCCTAGCGAGAACAAGATCTCGCGTCTTCGACCTAGACCATCTCAATGTCTCAGGCAATGCCTCATCTGATGTCTCAGTGCAATGTCTCAGGTGACATCTCAAATGTTTCAGCAATGTCTCAGACATATAAAGCTAAGTCTCAGGATGTCTCAAGCGACATCTCAGGTGATATCTCAGGTGAAGTCTCGGACGACGTTTCTCATGCGATGCATCTCAGATGTCTCAGGTGTCTCAGGTGATGTCTCAGGTGATGTCTCAGGTGTCTCAGGTGATGTCGTCGGAGGACAGTAGCATCGGTGAGCCGAGAGCTAGCTCCTGCCTCAGCGCCGCCTCCAGGTCCACGTTGCCACTCACCTCCAACCAGTCAGCGAGCAGGGAGGCGGAGAGAGGCGCGTCCGACCCGCTCCTCATGCTGAAAGACGAAGGTCGGTCGTGTCACGCGGGGGAGGAACGTGTTCGCTGGGAGGAGGAGGGATGAAGTGGTGCGCCTCGAGGGGGCTCATGAAAAGACGTGCGATTTTGGACGAAAATGTACGATTCACGAAAAATGCGTGATTTACAAAAAATTGGAAAAATGCGAGCAGGGAGGCGGGGAGCGGCGCGTCAGAGCCACTCCTCATACTGACTGGAAGACATATCTGAAAGAATAAGTCAGTCATCAGGAAGGAGGAACGTATGTACCGGGAGGCGGAGGAGTGGGGCCAGCGGCGGTCGTGCCTGGCCTTTCTTTTCGAAAAGATGCTTTTGGAAAAATGAGCGATTTACGGAATAACGGGCGGTTTTAACGAAAAATGTGAGATTTACGAAAAAAGCATGGCATCTTCTACCGGCACGAAACAGATGAATAACACAGCGCCCTCTACAAACATGGAACTACGACAATAAAGGTAAGGGGGTACAAGAGTGCATCTCACACGCACCAAACGGACGAAAACCCGCGCACGAAACGCACAGGGCGCCCACAACCGACACCCAACGATCGAAAAACCGCGCGCGACAATCGCAGCGCCCCTACCCCCACCGCGGTCGCCGCGGCAACGCACCTCTCGTTGTCCGCCTGGAAGTTGTGCTGCAACAGTTCCTCAAGGTCGAGTCCGACTCCGTAGCCGGCGCCCTGACCCTTCGGCGTGTGCGGCAGCGAGGACAGGTGACCGTCGTCCACCTGCGACTTGGACATCTGGCGCGTGATCGCCGCCACGTCGTTCTGCGATCCTCCGCTCCCTCCTCCTCCGTCCTCCGGCCACGTTCCGGCGCGCTCGGACGCGCCGCCGTTCTCGGACTCGCCGCGCGCCGACGCGTCCTCGTCCGGCC